AATATGCAAGATGAAACTGCAGTATACTATTCAAGCCGCAATTTATAAAAATGCCATACAAAACAAAAACCACACTGAAGTGTTCACAGAGGAATCCATCCATATCGCCATTTTTAAAAGCTAGCCCCAAACATAAGTTTTAACAAGCTTCTGCCAACTGGACTTGAGGGACCGTGGAGGTGTCTCTGTAATGGCAAAGCCATCCCTGAGAAGGCCCTGTCCTAGGGTTATCATCCTCCAGATGGGGCCTGGAGATCTCCTGGAATTACAGCTGCTCTCCAGACTAGAAAGATCAGTTCCCCTATAAGAAATGGCTGCTTTGGAGGGGGTTCCCAGCCTTTTTTGGATGGTTTCCCAAATATACTTTGTACAGTGACTAGGGATGGGCACGAACTGGGAAGATGGTGGTTCGTGATTTTTTCATGACACGAACCACAAACCACGAACTTTCATGAACTTTCCCCATTTCCTGAACTAGTTTGTGGTTCATTTGGTTTATGAGTTCAGGAGGTGGTAGAACAGCCTCATCATGAGTTAGAGATGCCAAACTCACAGTGAGTCTTCAGCCGACTGTCCTCTGGCTGGCTTCAGAGTTCTGGCTGGCTTCAGAGTTGGCCACACCCACTACAGCCAAAACCTCTGTGTGTGTGGCTACAGAGGGAAGGCCTGGAGAGCGACCCCCCGTGACTCCGAGGGGGGGCAGGGCCCCCTGGAAGGATCGGGGAGACATTTAATTGCCTCCCCGTGCCTTCCCCAGCCTGTCCAAGGGCCAGCTTGCCTGGTCTCCCCACAACCATGGGGCACCCAGGCAAGCCAAGGGAAGGCATAGAGGTGTGTCCTAATATCCCAATGAGTTTCTGCTGTTGGGTGTGGCCTATTATGCTAATGAGTTCCTGCTGGGCTTTTTCTACAAAAAAACCCCTGGCGTGTTGTACACACACACAATCTGCTCCCATAGAGCAGAATGAGAGCTCCATGGTTGGCTCCCAGAGCTGCCAATCAAGCGATGCACAATTGCTATGGGTATTTCTACGGCTCTCCACAAGTCTCCCCAGTGTTGCATTGGAATTGATTGAATCAGCGCCAGCTGTTGAAGTGCTCTAACAAACCAAACAAACCTCCATGGAAAAAGGTGGTTCGTTTTCAGATTCAGGAATGATGCTATCAAATGAATCAGTTCAAAACGAATCACGAACTGGGACTGGTTCATGCTTGAACCATAGTTCGTTTCTCAGTTGGTGCCCATCCCTAACAGTGACCCATCCAGGGCTAGCTCAAGGTTTTTTGATTTTTATTGGTGACCTAGGCCAACTATGACCTTGGCATCGATCTATTCCAGCGTTCCAATTTCTACATTGCTCAACCAGTTGTTTTTGAGAAACCAACAAACACCACACAAATGGTGCACTGCCTCCCACTATGAACCCCAACCTCCTTCTCTGCCAGCTGAGCCAGAGCCAGAGTTTGAGGAGGCATGTTTGGGGGGGGCATTGGGTTGAGGAGATATTTAAAGATGGCAATTTGCAGTAAAGAGGCTGGTGGCAAGGGAGGGGCTGTTGTTCAGTGGTAGACCATCTGCTTGGCATGGCGAAGGTCTCAGGTTCAGTCTCTGGCAACTCCAGTTAACAGGATCAGGTGCTGTGAAAGACCTCAGCCTGAGACCCTGGAGAGCTGCTGCCAGTCTGAGTAGATGATCCTGACTTCGATAAAGCACTGGTCTGATTCAGTCAGGGCAGCTTTGTGTGTGTGTGTGTATTATTTACACACTACGCGTGTAAAACATTATGCGTGTTTTAGATAGGCTGGTAGATAGTGCTGGGGAGGAGCCAGTGGTCGTGGTGTATGTTGGCACCAATGATGTGGGGAAATGCAGTCGTGAGGTCCTGGAGGAGAAATTTAGGCTGCTGGGGAGGAAACGTAGGTCCAGGACCTCCAAGGTAGCTTTCTCAGAAGTGCTATCTGTTCCACATGCAGGGCTGGAGAGACAGGCAGTCCCAATGCGTAGATGAGACGATGGTGTAGGGGGGAAGGTTTCAAGTTTGTTAGGCACTGGGATGCTTTTTGGAACAAGAGGGAGCTGTACAGGTGAGATGGTCTCCACTTGTCCTGAGAAGGAATCAGGCTGCTGGCGCTTAAAATCAAAAAGGTGGCAGAGCAGTTTTTAAACTGAATATTGGGGGGAAAGCCGACAGGAGATGAAAAGTCTCTGGTTCGGGTTGGCTCATCTCAGAGAGATGAGGGGGTACCTGTTGCTTTTCTACAGGGCGGTGGATTGAAAACTGAGACCATGGCTAGTGACATGGACTGCCTGGCAAGGTCTCAAGATAGCAAGAGGAAGGTTGCAGGCTTAACTAGTATGGGAAATTACAGCTGTTTCTATACAAATGCTAGAAGTGTCCGAGGTAAAATCGGGGAGTTGGAGTGCTTGGTGTCGGAGGGAAAAATAGACATTGTGGGTATTTCAGAAACTTGGTGGGATGAGGAAAATCAGTGGGACACAGTGATTCCCGGTTATATATTATATCGGAAGGATAGGGGGGGAAGGGTTGGAGGTGGGGTAGCTCTGTATGTCAGAGAGGGTATAAAGTCCAGAAAGATCGAGAGGCTAAGAGAATTGGATTCGCTTCTTGAAGTTCTGTGGGTTGAAATAGGGGGGCCAAAAGGAAACTTAACACTGGGAGTTTGTTATCGCCCACCGGATCAAAAGATAGAGGAGGATTATAAAATGATGAATGAATTAAAGATAGCAGCTAGACAAAAACACTGTGTCGTAATAGGTGATTTTAACTACCCACACATTGATTGGGTCAATATGTGTTCTAGTCGAGAGAAAGAGATTGAGTTTCTAGACACTCTAAATGACTGTGCTATGGAGCAGATGGTCACGGAACCTACCAGGGGAGAGGCGATCCTTGATTTGGTCCTAAGTAACACTCAAGACCTGGTGAGAGATGTAAAAGTGATTGCACCACTTGGAAACAGTGATCATAATGTTGTTGAGGGACAAGTCCTTTTATGGATCAAAAACTGGCTAATTAATAGAAAACAGAGAGTGAGTATAAATGGGCAATTTTCTCAGTGGAGAGTGGTAAACAGTGGGGTACTCCCTATGGGAGGGAAGCTCGAGAGGAAAGTGATGCCATCACTGCCCACCCCCGATGTGACCATTTCCTCCAGGGGAACTCATTTCTGGAGTCTGGACACTGGGTGTAATTCCAGGACATCTCCAGGCCCCATCTGGAGATCGATGTAAGTGAGAAAGAAAGAAAGAGCAGAGAAAAAATGTGTGGGGAAAAATATGAAAGGTGTAGGGTCTCATCTGATGAAACCTTGAGTGAAACGGTCTATTGAGTGCTGTACCGTCAGAAACATTTGGGGCAATCCCCATAGATTCAGAAAAATCTGAAAACTTGGAAAAAACATGTGGGGGATATTTAAATCCCCCCAAAAGTAAAAGAGCGTTCCTTGCGCGCGGGGGGGGGGGTCAACAGTGGGAGGGCTTCGCCGCTGCCGCCAGGGAGGCAGAGGGGGAGGGGCAGGAGAAGGCGTGGCTAGCCAGTGGCTATAAGCCACTCAGGCCTCGCCGCCGCCCAGGGGGGAGGGAGAAAGTTTGGCGGGCTGAGCTTAGGCCTCGCCGAAGCCGCTGGCAGGGGGGAGAAGGAGAAAGCTTGGCGGGCCGGGTAGGCCTTGCTGCTGCTGCTGCCGCCACTAGGGAAAGGCGGAGGGAGAAAGCTTGGTGGGCCGAGTTCAGGTCTCACCACCAGTGCTGGGGGGGGAGAGGGAGAAGGCTTGGAGGGGTGCGGGCCTCGCCGTGGGTGCTGGGGACAAGGGCAGGGGAGCTCACTTGTGGCTGCTTCCTTCTCCTCCCATGGAGCTTCCCCCCCACCCGCGAGTATCGTGGGTCCCCCTTCTTGTTTTTACCTAAACACGACTTCATTATCATATCACAGTTGTTTTCCTTCGAAGTTCAGTCCCATCTGGAGGCTGGCAACCCTTTCCAGAGGGTGGACTCTATGACATCACCTCTTGCTCAGCTCCCTCCCCCCTCCCCAGATTCTGCCCCCTCCAGGAACTGCCCCCAAATCTCCAGAAATCCCCCCGGCCAGACCTGGCAACCGGAGAAGGAGCAGAGAAGAGGCGCAGACTCTCACCAGGGAGAGCCATGAAATAATGAAGACGACATGGTGGTGGTGGTGCTGGGGGGCTGGAGAGGTGGTGCTGAGCTCTCTCTCCATTCCTGTCTGGTGCCCTGGCAAAATTTGTGGCACATAATTCAGCTCAGCCATAGAGGAACCTTCGTGGCACAAAATCAGGATAGCCAAACCACACCACTGCCTGTTTACGACTCGCTGGCATTTGTTCCTTTAAAATACTACCTTTGCTTCTGGTTCCTGCTCGAAGCCCCCTTTTATTGCTGAGACGGAAACCAAAGACAGCCCTGGCTGGTTGATGACTTTCAGACGCCCGCTCCGGCTTCACCGAAAACAGGGACCCTCTTTCCATTTTTTTTTTTTAATTTTTACAGAAGATGAACAGTAGCTCCGGAAAGAAAAATTATGAATGGGTGGTGATCCTAGATGGAATTCCAGGCAGAAGAGGAGAGCGCAGTGAGCTTTGGGGCCTGGGGAGTATGTTTTAAATTAGGTTATCTACACAAATGGAAACAGTGTCTTTAAAAAAAACAACACCCTTGAAAACAGCAACTGAAAAGTAGGCACTGAAGCCGGGAAAGTTCGGCCGGTCTTGATGGTGTCCTCTTGATAAGATCCTGGGCTCCTTTGGCAGGCACCAAACACACAGTGCATTGTTCTAGTTTGCTCCTGTGGGTCCGTGACTCAAGCATTCTAGGAATTTGCTCATCAACCTGCAGGAGAAGTGCCAGGCGCAACTGCGCAAGTTTGTCTTTGGCGCAAGGCCCTCTCGCAGAGGGGAATCCCCCAGCCACCTTATAAAAAGGCACTCCCGGCCCTTCCTCCGTGGCATCCCTCCAGGCGGTGAAGATGAAGTTGGGCCGAGCTGCTGGGCTCCTCTTTCTCCTCCAAAGTGCCGTGGCAGTGACGGACCCCACTCCAACCGGGGCCAGAAATGAGGTAAGAGGTGTCTTAAGAAGGTTGACTTGGAGCTCCAGAGATTGGACCTCGCTTCCTTCTGCCATTTGGGCCAGCCTCTAAGGACCCTGAGTTTGCCTGGAGATTCTAGCAGGGGTTGTGAGGGCGACCGGCCTGTGACATCCGTCCCGCCATTGATCACCAGGGTTGATTCAGCTGATCTGGCCGGCTAGGCAGGTGTCCTCTTCCTCCCTTGCTGCTCCATGTGCCTCCCTCCCGACAGCCACCCCAGACAGAAGGAGGGTACCAATCTATAAGGGCACAAGCCCCTCAGTAGCCACAGGGTCCAAGTCAAGGGGAGGGCCTGGGGCAGAGCACCTGCTTGGCATGCAGAAGGTCCCAGCTTCAATCCCCAGCGGCATCTCCCGTTGCACAAGGACCAGGTCATGGATGCTGGGGAAGACCTCTGCCTGAGACCCTGGGAAGCCGCTGCCAGTCTGCCCATGATGGCCCGAGGTTGTGATTCAGTGGAAGGCGGCTTCCGTGCGTGTCACCATTAGCCCAAGACCTACAAGGCTGTGGCCTGGGTGCGACCAATGACAGCTCTGCCACACTTGGAGCCCCACGTTAGAGTGTTGGAGCAGGATCTGGGAGACCCAGGTTCGAATCCCCACTCTGCCATGAAAGCTCACAGGGTGACCTGGGGCCAGCAGCATCTTCTCAGCCTAGCCTACCCCACAGGGTGATTGTGAAGAGAAAACAGACGAGAACCATGCAAGCTGCTTTGGGAGACAGATAAATAGATCAATAGACTGGTTGACAATAATCAGTGGCAGGTGGTGCCTGCCCCCCTCCCGGGCTCTGTTCATCTGATCCTTCTGTCTCTGGCCAGGATTCTCCCGGTGGATTTTCCATGTCATCCTGTTGTTGCACTCCTCTGCCTTGAGGCAGTAGAAGCTCAAACGGGGGGTGGGTGGGAGGGTGGGGTGGAATTTATTTAAGGAAGGTGTTTATTACAAGAGAGTAGCCCTCCTTCCATGGATGTTTTTGATGCTAACAGTTCATAACACTACCACACAGACCAACAGCAGGGGTTGGGGATAGAATGACAGAGCATGATAGCCATAATTATAATTGCCTATAGAAGGCTGCGGAGAAAGTCCTGGATTAATTCCCCTATCCATTTATTTCCCACATCTAAACATGGGGGTCTTGCCTAGAAAGGACAGTTATCTGCAGCCTTGACTGTGCAGACTATGGTTTCTAGGAAGTTTGTCCTCCGAAGAAAACAATGAGATTGGGTGAGATCCTGTGAGAACCAATTCAAAAAAGCAGCAGATGGGATAGTAAAATGCTACCCTTGGGGGGGGGAGGGAATTCCCTGCACATCAAAAGCTAGTCACCATGACTTCCAGGCATGCAAGTGCACACATGCATGCACGTGTGCATGCACACACACACACAAATACCCCAACCTCCCAAGCTAAGCACATCAAACCATTGCCTGGTGGCAGTACACTCCAAAAGTGGATGATGTGTTCTGGGAAGAAGTACGTCTCCAAACTGCTGCCAGCATTTCAGTGCACAGCAGAAGAGCATGAGATCTGGGCAATCCGACACCTGGGCTGCTGTGGTGCCCGGGATTTCATCTGTGGCCTCCCTGCTCTTGCCAGAAACACAAGAGTGTGGAGCCTGGGGTTTGGACTGGCTGTAGTGTGGTCACATTGTGTAATGCATTTTTCTTTGCCTGATTTTAGAAGAAAACCAGGGGTGGAGTCTGCAGCAAATCCATGCTCTTTTGCTTGCACAAAAACATTTTGCGTAGTTCACAGCCATGTGGAGAATTCAGAGGGTTCTTTTATTTATTTATTTATTTAAAATCTTACTTTTAAAATTTTACCTTAGCAAGCATACAGCAAACATATATTGCACATTCTATAGGTAAACCTATGAATTTACAATTACCAAGAATTGAACAAAGGAAAGAATAAAGGTAAAGGTAAAGGTTCCCTTGCTCGAAAGCCAGTCGAGTACGACTCTAGGGTTGCGGTGCTCATCTCTGTTTCAAAGCCGAAGAGCCAGTGCTGTCCAAAGACGTTTCCGTGGTCATGTGGCCGGCATGACTAAACACCGAGGCGCACAGAACGCTGCTACCTTCCCACTGTAGTGGTACCTATTTATCTACTTGCAATTTCTTGCTTTCGAACTGCTAGGTTGGCAGGAGCTGGAACTAGAGACGGGAGCTCACTCCGTCATGCGGTAACTCGGGTCGAATTGCTGAACTACTGACCTTCCACAGCCTGCAGTTCAGCGTCTTAACCACTTGAGCCACCGCAGCTCCAAGGAAAGAATAGCATTGCAGAAATAATTAATCTGATAATATTGACAGTTCAAAAATGTGCTAATTTACTATAATATTGCTTCAGCTGTACCACTTCTTTTAATGTGTCATTACATGTCAAGTATTCCAACACTGGAAGCCATTGTTCCACACATTTGGAGTTATAATTAATAGTCTTGGACAATGAAACTTGATCTGCTATCTGATGGGGAGCAGAAAGAGAGAGAAGGTGACAGCCGTGGAGGAGAGAAAACAATAAAAGGGGTAGCAGGAGGGAGAAAGAGTGAGAGACTGAGAGACGTGGGGGGAGAAGGGAGCAAGCAAAGGTGGGGGGAATGGGACAGCCGCTCCTGCAAGTTTCTTGCAGGTCCCCACTTGTTCCAGTATATTTTGGTGGGTCGTAAACCTATTCACCTGGAAGAATGTGGAAGCAGAAATGCTCAAAAGCTACCACAAGGGCAAAAGAAAGAACCAGGGCAGCCTTCAAACTGATTATTAGATGAAATAATGTAAGAACCTAAGAAGAGCCCTGCTGGGTCAGACCAGGGAGGGTCCATCTAGTCCACCATCCTGTCTCACACAGTGGCCACCAGTTTTTCTAGAGGGCACAGAGGCCGAGACCTACCCCTGATAAGAACCAAAGAAAAGCCTGGCTGAATAGGGTTGCCAGCACCCAGGTCCAGGCAGGGGTTCTCCCACTTTTTGGGACTCCAATCTGCCCTGGCCAGCTGGCCAGAGGGAGAAGCCCTGCCCCCGAGCCCCGCCCCCAAGGACGACCACCCGCCTGGCCACCCCTCTCCCTCCCCTCCTGCCAGATTAAAAGGGCTTCAGCCAATCAGCGGGGCCCACGTGGCCCGCGCGCGGATCAGCCGGAGGGCCCTTTAAATCTAGCAGGAGGGAGGGAGGGAGGGAGAGGGGCAGTCACGGGCTGCATGCTCCGCTTGCGAAAAGACCCTTTAAAGGTGTGGCGGGGCTGGGGGAAATCGGTGGTCCCTGCCGATCAGCTGAAGCCCTTTAAATCTGGCAGGAGGGGCAGGAGAGGGGTGGCTGGGTGGGTGGTTGTGCTTGGGGGCAGGGCTTGGGCCATCCCCGCCCAACCCCGGAATGCCCCCCAAATCCCCCTGCTGGAGCCACGAGGGGACCTGGCAACCCTACCGCCCAATCAGATCACCGAAGGTCCACCTCGTCCAGCAGGCTGTCTCACCCAGTGGCCATCCCCTTCCTCTGGAGGTCCAACCCCAGGGCATGGCGGCGAAATGAGGGTGGTGCTCAGAGGTGGGGCCTGCAGTGCTGGCTTGCAGTGCTGGCTGCCTGCAGTGACCTCTGGGGCACAACTGAGACAGGTTGTCCATGGGGGAGAGCAAGGGAGGAGGGCGGAAAGGAATCCCAGGATGGAGCAGGGGAAATGGGTGCAGGAGCCAGGGAGGAACAGATTGCTGGAAGGCACAAGAAGGGATCCGGGTGCTCAGAAAGCTGGGTGCTCTGAGGGGGTGGGGGCGGGCTAGCCCCCCCAACTAGCTGCATCCGTAAATGCCTCACCAATCCTGGGTCAAATACAGAAATGCCTGGACACTCAGACAAATAAAACCGCAGAGGATACAAAGCCAGTCTCTGCTCCGTGGAATAATTCTCAACTGTGGATTCTGATCTGATTCCGCCTTCGCCAGAAAAGGCGATTATTGCTGCTTCCACCCCCTGCTGCACACCCTCAGTCCCCACCCCCCGTATGGTTCCTGAGAGTACTCTGACACCACCACCCCCGAACAGAATTTGGGGGACCTGAGCAGGGTGCTGCAGGAGGAGGAAGAGGGAAAGGTTTGCTTCATGCACTGATGTTGTTGAACACACGCTTGTCTTGTAACCTTACATTTCCCCCAAAGAGATTCTATTGGCCTTTGTTAACACACTAATCCCCTAAAGGGGTGTGGCCGAATAGCCTTCCTCCCCACAGCACCTCTGGGAGGTGGAACTGACCCAGCTAGTCCTCGGTCTCAAGGAGGCTTTTTGTTAATCTTAAATTAAGCATTAAGAGGATGCCGAGGAAACCTTCACACTTTGCTACGGCTGTATGTTGTGCCCAGGTGGCTGTGGGGGTGAGGTGTCCCTTCCTGACAGGGTGAGCGGCAGTTGGGGAGCATTTTTGGCTTTTACCTTGCAGCAAGGCATGAATCCTTTAATTCAGGGGCCACGTGGAAATTTTCAACAATGATCAGGCAAGCAGATTTATCACAACTGATTTTTATGAATGGCCTTTGAAAATCCCCTGGTAATGCTGTGTTTCCTTGTTCTTTCCCCTGGGTGACTATCATGAGAGAGAAATGCCGCCATCCAATTGGTTGACTGACCTTTCCCCTGCTCTCATATTCTCACAGCCGTATACCAACGTCACCGGCATTGTGGACGACCACGGACTGTGCCAGTGCTCAGTACACCTGCCAGACAACACGTTTCCTGTGCAGAAGGTGGAGAGGCTAGAAATTTTAATCCAAACACTCTCCATAAGGTTCGACCAGGAGCTCTCCAAAGTAAGTGACCTTATTTTTCATGCAGTGGCAGTTCCTCAAACAGAGAAGCTTCAAGGGAAGCTTGCAACGTGAGATTGCTGAATTTGAGTTCATTCACAAGTTCAGAAAAATGGACCCCGCCCAGGGCTGAATAGGGACGTAGGATTCTTATTGCACGATGGATGCTAATTTTCTGCCCCGAAGCATTTTGCCCTCTGCTCTAACTACGCTGATGACAGTAGGCATGGTGCCTTGGCATTCTTCACAAGGCGCCTTTACAACACCCCCCCCAACACACACACACACCTTCTGACCGGAATAAA